ACTGAAATCGTTCCCTTGTTGGGTATGACCTCAGGAGGCTCGGGGGCCACTGCAGTGGATGGGGAGGAGGGGGTCCCATCAGTGGGAAGTGACCTCTTCCTCTACCCCACCCTCATCCACACAAGAACTTGGCGCGGCTCTCTCCCCTGCCAGTCTTTGTCTTTCCCTGCCTCCCCGCCCCCCGGGTTTTTTTCTCTCAGCCGCCTCTTTTCTCTGCTTTCTCTCCCTCTCCGACCATCTCTCTTTCCCTCTGTCTGTTTCTCTGCCCACTCCACTGGCATTTTGCTCTGGCCCCTGGTCAGCCACCCTCCTTCTCTCTCTTCCCAGAAGAGCTCGGGGCCTCACCTAAGACTCGAAGGTGGCTGGTGGCCTCTGTCTTTTCTGTGGTCCCATTAAGGATCTGGCATGTGTAGTCACGCTCATCCCCCATCTCGGCCGAGAGCAGTTGCAGGGACCCGTTGGGATGCAGTTGAAAGGGCGTGCTCGGCTTTAGACCAGGGTCCCCACTTCTCTTCAGAGCTCCCTTTCTTCCCACAGCAAAGACCAAGGGGGAGGTATTTCCCCAGCGATCTGTCTGTGGGGAAAGCACCAGGACAGAAGGTTTCAGGGTGTCTGATGGCGAGCCCCCGAGCCTCCCCTTTTCTCTCTTCTCTTGGCCTTCCTCCATCTGTTTTCTGCCTCTCTCTCCCCAGCCTTCTTTCTTGTTTCTGGGTGTTTGGTCCCTTTCAGTCTCTCCTTCTTCCTCTGTCTCATCTGTCTCTGATTCTGTCTCTCAATCACTTTCCTTCCTCACTGCACCTTGCTCCTTCTCGCTTTCTGTCTCTGGCCCCCTATCACCTAGCTAGCTCTGTGCACCTTCCCTCCACATCGGTCACTCACGACAAGCCACTGCAGTGCTAAGTGTTCTTTGCCGCCAGCCCCAGAGAAGGAGCAGTTCAGGGTCACTGGCTCCCCTTTCATGACTTCCACCAAGCGGGGTGCTGATACTCGTATCTCAGTCTGGGCACCTGGGGGGGTGGAGAGGAAGATACAGAGATTTGGTGGTCCCATTTTTGGATTCTCACCATCAGTCGGGGTCCCAAGTCTCCTGAGCCCTCAGCTCCTGCCCTCTCAGGAACCTAGGTATCCTGCTCTCCCACCCCCTCAGCCTGCTCAAGGACCTAGGCCCCCAGCCCTGCCCCTGGTGGTTGAGGGGAATGAGGTAGCCATCAGGTATCCACCCCACCCAAACTAAAGGGAGGGGAGAAGTGAAAAGGGGCGGGGTAACTGACTCTCCTCTTCCATTTATAAGTCTTTCTCTTTGGATCTCTTTGAATCTCTTCCTGTTGGGGTCTCTGTCTTTGTGTCTCTCAGTCTCTGGGTGTGTCTCATACTAGCTTTCTTAGTCTCTCCATCCCCTTCACGTCTGTTGGACCTTTTAGACTGATGTCTCTATGACTCCCAGATCTTTTTCGTTTCTCAGCCTCTATGGGGTCTCTAGGTGCCTAGAGAGATAGTTAGCAGCCCCCTATTTGTGGCCTCCTGGGAGCGGGGCGGGGGGGTGTTGGAGAAGGGAGGAGGAGGTAGATGAGGGGGGACAGGGCTGGGCAGGTTTCAGGAATGTAGGAGGGGTGGGGCCAGCCCAGACCTGCCTCAGCATGGCACAGCCCCTTCCTCTGCCCCCCCCATCAAGTCCTTTTCTCTCACCCCTCTGGGAGGGGAGGAGTGGGGAGAGATGAGTCATAAGAAGGGAAAAGGAGGTCCTGAGAAGGAATGGGGGGGACGCTGAGGGGAACAGGGACTGGGTGCCCAGATGCCTGGGTCCCTGAAGGGATGGGAGAACTGTGGGGCTCAGGTGCCCAGACCTACAGGGGCTGAGAATGCCCCAGTCCTTGCCCTAAGGGAGGTGGCTGAGGAGTCAGTAGCTTGGGTCCTTGAGGGGATGGGGACTGAAAGCCTGAGTTGAGGGTCCCTGAGAATACTGGCCCGAAGGAGGAGACAGGGCTAGGTACATGGAGAGAAACACGGGCCCTCAGGGAGGGCATCCCACATAGTGCTGCCTTTCTAGCTCCTTGCCAGGCCCCACCCAGCCCCAGGGGCTTAGGATCTGCTGAGTGATGGCTGGCAGGGGAAGAAGTAGAGGGCCTGTGTGCTCCAGGGAGGCTGGGCACTGGGCACAGGGGACTCTGGGGCCCAGGGGCCCAGCAACACAGCCAGCTTTGGGGCTGGAGGAAAGGACCCAGGGGCTTTGCGGCCCCTGGCCTCTCCAGACTTGTCTCCATCTCTGGGTTTTTCTGTGTCCCTCTGTTTTCCTGTGTCTGCGTCCCCAATTCTGTCTTGCTCCTCCCCTGTTTCTGTGTCTCTCTATCTCTGGGCCTCTCATGTCTGCCTGCCCCCCTGGCTCTCTCTGCCTCTGCCTCCCCCCACCCATGGCTCTCTCTCTGTCCCCCCATGGCTCTCTCTTTTCCCCCATGGCTCTCCCTCTCTTGTATCTCTCTGTTCCCCCCCCATGGCTCTCTCTCTCTCCCCCCATGGCTCTCTCTTTGCCCCCC